CACCAAACAAAAAAAAGACTCCATACTTCGAGCATTTTTCACAATTATCAGGGGATTCAGGGCACATACGTGATATATGTCGAGAGTTTTAGTCCGGTTTCGTGATTTGACTTAGACCGAGATCGATGTCACCAGATGGGACCAAATTCGAACAATTCTAATACTATAATTTATGACCTAGTCATGCCGGTTTACTCTTGTTAACCGGTCGGTTCTCATCAGGGCGATCAAGTAAAAGGGCAAAACCAAGAGCCCTTCAGTACTTGATGAGTTGATGTGGTTGAGACGAAAATAATTATCAACTACTTAATGGATGTTCAAGATATATCACTCGAAATATTTGGAAATCGACCCACAATCTCAAAGATCGTGATCGAAGAAAATAAAAAAAACAACTATATAATATCTCTACATACTGTCTGACCTAATTATCAAGCTTCTCTATTCCTATATATATTGATTAAGCTTTGGATTTTATAAAAACATCAGAAAGATAACTAAAAAAGCACAAACCTCATATCCTTTAAGACATTCAAACCATGAAATCATCACATGCATGTCTCATATGCATACTCTTGCTCTCTCTATTTGCTCTACATCAATGTATGATAAGTTGTCTTGTCTCATATTTTAAAATTTTCTCTTTATTTTAGAGTCATTAAAGTTGGGTTGATGTGTGTTTCAAAATCGAACATTGATGTGTAGGTGCGAGGATAGAAAGATCGAACAAAATCGATATATCTGTATGCTTCCGTGACAATTGCGACAATGTTTTCGATGGAGGCTGTTATTGCTGCCCCAAAACGCCAAATCTTTGCTGGGCAGACCAACAATTTTGCAACACATATTGTCAATCTCAAACTTAAAAACCTTAATAAACTGATACAGCTACTTGTTCCATTTTGGTTAAAAAGACTTGAGACAAACAAATAAAAATTCTTGTGGATATAACTTCTACATTTCCTCCTATATACTCTCTTCACATTTACACATAAATGATCACGATCAAAACCAACAAAAGAAAATAAAAAACTAATAAATAATGAGAGTAGCCCTTATAACCAGATATCACCTAAAACACCATTCAGTTTTTTCATTTTTTTAAAGAAAAATATGAATCCCTAAACCCTAATTAAGATCTCGTTTAAGGACATTTTGGATTCTTGCCTGGTCTTCCATAATAAAAATAATTCCCCCAAGCTCGATTAGATCCACCTTGAATATGATCTGCAAGTACTTATTCGGAGAAGGGACCAAATTGTTATCCCAATCAACTACCTGGATGTTTCTAAAATAAGAAGATTTTGTGAACCCTTCTTGTGCAAAATAACTACCTCCCATTTGTGTCGAAGTGTGAGCACCAAAAGGACTCGAGTTTACGATTTCTCCACCGGACCATACTCGCGTGCTTCCTCAGGTGTGTGAACAAGAACAAT